TAAGGCCAGGAGCCCCTAGTAGCGTCCTTGCTCCTAGTAGCGATGCCCTTTGCTCCTAGTCCTAGTAGCTTTTTGCTACGCGATGGCCAGGTCACTTCTTCCGTCCAGATATGCTGAGTTGCGCGGGCACACGTGTCCTCGCAGCAACGGCCTTCGCGATGCCACCTGGCCAGAGATTATGTGGGCATGTTTTAGCGGTCATACAATTCACATACCAAAGCTTGAGTTCGGTACAACTGTACAACCTGCCCCCAGGTATCAATCATCTGACCTGGCTGGTCGAGCGACTCCGCTCTTGTGGCAGGTGAATGGGGGCTGGGAGGGAAGGCCATATTTACATTCGGAGTGATTAGTGCTTGCCATCAGCCCCAAAAGCGGGGACAGAGGCAATGGAAAGACAAGCATGGCCCGAATGTTCTCTCTCTCTCTCTCGCGCGCGCTCGCTCCCTCTCTCCCTCCCTCCCTCCCTCCTTCTCCCTCCCTGTGAGTATGGAGTGTGAACCCAAGCCGATCGAATCTAGTGACTTCCCTCCTCCTGTTTGGCAGTGTTTTCATGTGTTCTCGACAGGCCTTGCCAAGAAGAGACTTCTCGATGGCCGTGCCCCTTTGTGGGGATGATGGCACCTTGGTAGGATGATGCATATAAACCGAGACTGATTCCTATGATGGGAGTGCCTTTAGTACTTAGTACTTAGTACCGTTTGCATCACCTGACAACTGCATCTGAGTTGCAATGGAGAACTGCAGCTTTGCTCGATCGCGGGGCGACGGAAGACTGACTGTGTCGCCAGCAGTGGCTTGGTTGCAAAGTATCCCAGTGTGGCCAAACTTGTCCATTTTGCAGTTCAGCGGTGTGAAGTTGGGGAAGAGTGTCACATTCAATGCTCAAGGCAATTATGCAACTCACACGCTAAATGTCAGGTTGACGGGAGCAGTGAGGATGTGATGGAGCTCCCTTCCAGGCCCACTCAATCATTGGGTGAAGGGAAGATTGATTTGCATAGTCATGGTCGGCTGAGCTGAGTAGCCCAAGCTCAAGCCAATTCTGCTCTCTCCTCCTTTTCCTTGCTCGTCTTTTCTGTACGGAACGAGGCGACCTTGGCAAGTCTTCACTGGTGCTGAGTTGCCCTGTAGCGATGGCGTGCAGCAGAGATGTTTTCTGCTCCTCGGCCGTGAGACACTTCAGTACGTGTTCTGTGCATAGTTGCGCAGGCCGTTTTTGTCTGAGCGGTGTGACGTTTTGCTTGACTCCACCTAGGCTTGCAGGATGGGATGGTGAGCGCTTGCCAGTGGCTTGGGTCCGCGGACGGGAGCTGACACCCAGTCACCTGGCAGCCAAACTGACTCGGCTCGGTCACACTGTGTTGATGACATCACGCTTCAGCTTGTCACCGGTAAGGCTTCAATCTGCCGCTCCCAAGCGGGTCCTCCGATTTACGTGCCATGCCTCTTGGTCGCAGAGGTTGCGAATGTCAATCCGGCACTCAGCACTACTCAGCTACACAGTCCGAACTATCCAGGGATGTACGGCATGTGTGGAGATCGAGCACGGCTCAAATATGACATCATGTGACCATCAAGGCAGAGAAAAGATAACTGTGCTTTGTGGAATGAGGTCCCTAATTTCTAACTGCGCCCGGCGGTAACATGTGCTACTGTTATTGGATGAAAGCTGCCACACCAAGGCATTTGACTTCATCAGGGCAGCTTTGGCTCTTGCTGGGCACCGAGCTCATGGCCTGGGACTTGCTGCGAGGCCAACATGTTCATGTGATCTAACATTGTCACTTTAGGCATTTAGAATCCGCTGCGCTGTGCCTATTGCAAGCCGTTTCCCTTCCACCATCACTTGGTGTAAGAAACCTTTGGTCACTCAAAGCATCATGTCATGCACATTCTCTCACCACCCTTTGCGCCGCTTCTTACTTACTTGTAGGTGAGTTCATTGGCAGATGGCAGCCTGATTGGCAGGGCTTCACGCCTCTCAGCTGCACATGAGTCAAGAATCGGTGTTCTTGGCGTTTCACAAGAAAGGCAACTGAGAAAGGCATGCCTCATGAGCACAGCATTCCCAGCGCTCCGCCAGGCCCCGTCTCCTGTGCCATGGCCAGCGGCTACTGGTGGCTGGCACGGCCGGATCAACGATGGGCTTTGCACGTCCACGCTTGTTGGCGCTTGAGCCACGCCTGGAGCTGCAGTCAGATGCCCCGCCCAAATGAATCCACGCCAGTAGGCATGTGTGCAGAACTGTCGCAGAACCGTCTCAAAGTGGCGGGGGGGAACAGTGAAGCAGCTGCAAAAACCTTGCAAGGAACCTGTTTTGTGTTTGCGTTTGTTCTTCCTTTTTGCCAGCATGATATTGTCTTCCCCCCAGGCGGAGTCTTGGGTGCACCAAACTTGGACCCATGCGTGCAACCCGATCATGCACAAACAGGTTGCCACTTCGCGGCGAAAGTGCGGCGAAGTGCTCTGACTCGGTTGATCGCCCGAACAAGAGAAGACACACCTTGATGCGTTAGACAGGCAGATCTTGGAAGTGACATCCCCCTTGCAAGACGATTTTGTTTGAAGAGAACTGCGCACAAGTGTTGGTAGGTGTTGGTGAATGAAAAGGTAATGTAGAGGTGCAGCCTCTCAAGAGGCTGAGCATGTTTGGAAGTTGGTGATCAAAAAGCTGATCCTAAACCGTACAAAAGAGTGGAAACGAGGTTTGCAGATACCCGGTGTTTGTCATCATGTTTGCAATCTGCTTGCTGCACCTGTGGCCCTTTGAGTCGTGCAAAGGTCGGTAGTTGAGCTAGGACCCGGGACAGTCCTGCAACCAGCCGCCCTACTACGAGCAGCCCGCACGCACCCCCACACTCTCCACGCTCAACGCCCTCACGCACTGCATGCCATGCACACCCCGAGCTTTTGAGCCAGCAGTTCAGCACAGTCAGGAGTAGCACGCTTGTAGCAGCTAGCACAAGCCCTTTGTTATGCTTTTCCTTTTGCCTGAAACGTTTCCAAAAATAGGTTAGGCTCTAACGCTTGCACTAACTACAGTAACAGCCTGGACTGCCCGGGACACGAGAACCAGCCGCACCTTGCACCTTACAGAATCATATGATTGATGAATCCAAGAATTGCATCTCCCAGACCCTTTCCAGCCCACTTCTGACTATAGACTCTAGACATGAATCACATTGGCCAACCAACTTCAGCAGTCTGCAAACGCTTCCTGCCTGCATCACAGCACTCCATTCCGCTTGGTCAGACCGGACGCACAGAATCTCCGCTGCACAAAGTCGCCTTTGAAGTTACACATCAAGAAACCTTCAACGCACTAATGTGTGACCAACCAATAACTACTGTTGCTCAGATTTCGGAAGCAAGGTGTTGGAAGTGAATGGAAGCAAAGCACTCCAAATTTTGTTTCGTATCTTGTTGAGGCCATGGCAGAACCCACCGGACCCAATCCCAATGCACCGCCGTTCATTCCTGGAGTCGCGGTCTTGGACATGGATCCAATTGAAACTCCAAAGGTGGAGTCCGGGACGGTTGCATTTTAAACGAGATGAACGAGTTGTGATAGAAGAAATCTTTAAGAAATGCCAGCTGCTTTAAAGTTCCAACGATCAAGCAGAAAGAGAGAAAGCTGAGCCCTCTCCTTTTGGTTTTGCCACCAAGCTGCAGAGCTGAGGGTCAAGCCTTTGGACTCCTCTCCCCAGAGGTCGGGGCGTGGTGGGTCGTTGCTGTGGTCATCATCGGTTGGGTACGATGAGACGCTTTCCCCTTATATACATTGAGTGGGACCACCTCGACTTACCACTTGCCTATGTGAGACAGTATATAAGCACTTTTGCAGCACCATCACAGATCTAGGATGAGTGGGCCAAATTCCTTCCCCAATAAACTATCTCAAGAGATGTGAGGAAGAGGGCTCTGGATTCAGGAGACGATGGTGGCTATGTCGCAGCGTGCGCCACCAGGCCTGTAAACTGCCGGTTGTGTTTGCTAACGCCACTGCACTGCTTCTCGGTGTTCTTGGAGAAGGATCACGTGCTTGTCATTGCACATGTGTCGACTGCCGGTTTCTGTGGCTTATGCTCAGGGCAAGCGAAGCTGCCTGGAACAAATGGTACTGTAGAAAGGACAAGTTCCAAGCAAAGATCTAAGATGGAGTTGGATTATTGCAATAGTCATAGTTTGGAAGGTTAGCCCAGGTTTTCGTTACAACTTGACAAACGTGTGCTTGAGCACTGCCACATGGCGTGCTGCCGCGGTTTGACGCCTTGACATTTGAAGATTTGAAGGACCTGGCTTGGAAAGTGTGTGTTAGTGAGGCCGCGCAGTATAAGATGTCCCCTTTGCTTCAAGGTTGATCCCATATGGACGGTCTGACCGAAGAAAAGTAGCGAAAAAGATCGACGAAGAAACGACAGGTCGACTTGCCGCGACTGCGCTCTCGTTGTGGTGCCGTGCGCATTTTCGGACATCGTGGTTATTTGTCCGTGGCAGGCGCAAGGGAAACCTCGTCCAAAGTGGACTTTTCGCAACAGGTGCAAGGGGTCGGAGCGGTTTTACATCGAAATGCAAATTTCGTGGCAGGTGCAGCAGCACTTTGTACATGATGGTGGTCTCCGGCCGCTCTAAATTCGTGACAGGTGCAGTGAGTCGTGACTTTTCTACACGTGGATCGTTTTCAAAAGTCGGGGGAAGTTTCGCGCGAAAGCTGCGTTTTGGCATCTGTGTTGCCTTTGGAGGTGTTCTTGCGGCGAAGCGCCTTGTCAGGGCTGCCGCATGTGAATCTTGAAGTGCAGATTTCGTGGCAGGCGCAGCACTTTGTGAAGCACTGTGAACCTCGAAGTGCAGATTTCGCAGCAGGCGCAGCACTTTGTGAAATTTGAAATGCTGACTTCGGGGCAGGCGCAGCAATTTGCGAACCTAGAAGTGCAGACTTCGCGACACCCGGTTCCGTCTGCGGATCCGCGACGCCCGCTCGCACATGCCCAGAGAAAGAAAAGGTCCGACCTGCGCTTGCTCTGTTTGCTGCTTTTCGGTGGCCCTTTTTGACACACTGAACCACTCACGCTCCCAACCGGTTATTCACCCCCTTCTCTTTCCTCTTTGATGTCTGCTTGCTCTTCCCCTCTGATCCTGGAACGCGTTTGGCTTCCACTTGCTCTTCCCCTGCTCGCGGGTGCTTAGACTACTCCCTCTACTTTTCCCTCTCAATTCATCAATTCTCGGATTCGTCGTATGTGGCTTTACACTGTTTTCTTTTTTTGCCCGGAGAATTCCTCAAACAGTTTATTGTTAGGGGTTCAGGGGTTCTCAATTCTTTCTTGAGATGTGTCCGCCCTTTCTGTCACTGTTGGTGTCCGCCCTTTTCCGCTGGCCGTGCAGCATTTCTATTCTTGTGTTCCGCAGGTGATTTCTTTACTTTTGTCTCCCAGGTTCGGTGCCTGCACTGCTGGTGTCCGCCCTTTTCCGCTGGCCATGCAGCATTTCTATTCATTTGTGTGCGTCTTGTTTTTCTTCTGCTTCCTTTTGTCTCCAGTCTTGTCTCTCTTCTCATTGTGCCGTCATTCTGTCCAGTTTGTCTCCCTTCTTGTCTCCCATGTCTCAAAAAGTGGACTTGGGAATGCTTCTTTGTTGTCCTACTTGTTTGGGGCCTACGGTGGTGTAATTTTGTTACCTTGACGTTTTGAATCAGAGCGCTGGTAGGCGCTCAGCATGAAGCTTTGGACGAACATTATTCTGCAGGAGGCACCATGGGTTCCGCAGAATCTGTGGCATCAGCAATGTCCAGCTGTGTGCAACTGCCTTCGATCAGCCACGAGGAGAACCCGTTTAAAGGTTTAAACCACAGCTGCGGTGCCTGGACTGAGGCGGACTAAATGGATTGACTTCTCATGTCTTGCTAACTTGTAAGCTGCCGAGCCACCAGCTATCCACCGGCGTCATGTGTTGTGACTGGCTTTAATTGAAGCATGGAGGAGAACACATGAGACAAATGTATTCCTTTTCTTTGTTTCTGAAAGCCATGGCCTCCAACCTAGTAGCGATGGTCTCCAACCTTTGTTTGATCTTCTTGTCAGGATGTTCGCCCACCTTGGGCTTTGGCACAGGCCGAAGCTCGGATGGCGTAGAGAATGTTTCGAAGAGCAAGCTCCAGCTGCTCCTACTGTGATGGATTGTTCTGGGTCAAGGTAGTTTACGGCCGATTGTGGGTTGGACCCGGCCTTGCCCGAGGATAAGTTCGAGTATGAGGATTGCCCCTTCTGTCGAATGCGTCGATCTCATTGCTCTTGGCTGCAGACTGAAATCAAGCGGCTCAAGTCAGAGGCGGGCTCGCGGGAGTTAGTGATTTAGTGAAAAGACTGGCAGTCCACAGTGGCGCAGTGGAGATGTGGTGGCCGCTGGCGGCTGTTTTTTGCCACAGACAACTTTGTTCTATATATTCGGGGCATGCCTTGGACAGTAAGATTGCCACCAGGCATGAGCGGCTGTATTATATATTATATACTGTATATTGTATATTACAATATTTACATATATATATTATATTATACTATATTATATATATTTGATTATGCTACATATTTGTGTGTGGTAGGGCGTAAAACCACCGACCAGCCAATACCGGCAAACTCCAATAGTTTGATGCCAAATTGTGCCTTGCAGGCTGCGGCTGTGCAGACCACGATTCCGCCAATCTTTCTGCCGGAGCTCATGCAGCAGCTGGAGGTCTCGTATTTCCACATGTAGCGGTGCCGAGCCATCACTCCTCAATAGGGAGGCCTTTGCGCCGACCATTGCAACCAGAGCAATTGCATGCAATTGCTAATAATCCCAGCCCGAGGCTGATCCATGGGTGACTGCTGACATATATATATATATACACATAAATATTGATAGTTTACCATATTTCTATAACGTTGTGTAATCTTGGTAGGGGTGCAGAGGGCTAGACAGCTGGATGGGATCCAACACTAGAAATGTATTTATCTCGAGTCTCTCGAAGATTTTTTGGGGCTTTGTCATGCTGCGTTCTCCTTGGTTCTCCTTCGGCGAGGCTGGGCGCTTGCCACCATCAGGCTACACTGGGGGAGTTGATGACATCATCGCGCGGAGCTGCCCAAGATGTGAAGAATGGCGACAGGAGGCACAAGTTGTCCATTTTCAGAGATCCGATGGAGCACGACAAGTTTTGTGTACTAAAAATAATCATGCCAGGTCGGCCAATCCCGATAAAAACACAGTTGGACTTGCCTTGTGGATTTGCAGGTTCTTGATCTTCAAGAGGAGGCTAGAGAGTTGGATGCTCAATGTAAGGCCGGCTGGGCATTAACGAGCAGATAGATGGTATAGAAGCCGACAGCGTACCCCTATGCCTTCACCTGCAGGAGGGCATGGGGCAGATGTGAAGCACAGCAACAACAATATAAGATTATAGGGTACAAGGAAGCAGTAATATCACAATGATTCTGCAAGGAAGCCGTAGCTGTTTTCTGCACGGATGCCGCCGTATGCCTTTGACGAAGAATTGCTGTGCATTTTTGTGTGCGATGCGGCGGATACAAAAATGCTTGTAGTCTCACAGAGCCTGGTGGAATTTCCCAAAGTTGTGCCGAATGCAGGCTCGTATTGAGCCAGCGCCCGAGAGTGCGAGTGTTTTTTTGTGAAAGCGGGTGCATGCTTTGCCACTTTGTCGGTTTGCACAACAGTCGCAGTGGTCGCATCATGTGTGCATTTGTTACTAGTAGTAAGCATGTATTAAGGCCAGGGGCCAGGAGCTCCTAGTAGCGATGCCCTTTGTTACTAGTAGCTTCTTGTACTAGTGCTATCATGCAAACATTCGTGGGGGCCGAGGTTTCGATCTGGTCAAGCTCGGAACGTTGAAGACCTGCTCATTGATGCCCGACTGAAGTCATTGAAGTCAACCAACATCACATGGTGAATTCAGCATAGCTACTAGTAACAAGAGGACGCTACTAGGAACAAAAGGCATCGCTACTAGGAGCAAGGACGCTACTAGTAGCTCCTGGCATTACTACTAGTAACAAGAAGCATGAACCTGACATGCACATATTGGATGTACCTTGGACCAAGGCCGCTGCTAGTCTCAGTCGAATTCCCAAATACACCCACGTAATTAGCTTCTTTTCCTTGGGCACTACATGTCTTCCCATATCTTTTGTGGTGTTGAACTCAATTCTCCCCTAACCCTGTCGCTTGCTTTCATTGACCGCGTCGGGGTCGTTGGCCTCCGGTGTGGCGCGCCGAGGCCAAGCGGCGCATCGAGGCGAAGCTGCTGAGCGCGGGCGGTGCTGCCGTGGATGACGGGAAGCTCTCGGTGATCACCCGGGTGCGGTGCCGACCGTGACCAGTGTCGACGGTCGACAAACAAGGGCACCATCGCAACTGAACTCCGTGAGACGACTGGGGGGATGTGGATGGGTGGTTTATGGTGGTTTTCTTTTGAGAGGGGAGCGCTGTGAGCGGCGCGTTTTTCGATGAAAATGAGCATTTTTCAACCTTTTTCATGCGTTTTCTTGAGAATGATTGATGTGTCTGACATTGCCTGGAAGGATCTGCCTGGAAGCGCCCAGATGTTATTCAGTAAGATCAGTCAAGAAACCTACAGTGATTATGAAAAAAAAGAACCAAAATTGGAATGATAGAATGAATGACTTTACAAGAAACTTAAATGATCACTTTAAACAACATAGAACACTATATGCTGAAGAGAAAAATATAGCAAACAAGGAGAAGATAGAAGACCGCAGGGGCTTATGGAATGCCTATTCATCACCAAGTGCTTTTTACAAAACAAGTAAGACTTTATACATAAGTGGCACAGGTGGTTGTGATGGATCTTTAACAAGGGATATTATGGATGATCTGTTATTAGTACCTACTAGAAATGTTAATCACAGTGAGAAATACAAACATGTTATAGAAGAATTGGAAAAGTCACCAGAAATAACCCGTTTGGTTGGGCATAACCTTGCAAGTGCTGTAATAAGATCAATCAAGAACAACCTAATACATTTGCTACAACAACCTATGCTACCCCTACAATAAAAACAAAAAGGAAAGGAACAAAAGTCCCAAAAGACTTGACTACCTCAATCCATCCGATATTGTTTCAATGTTGGATGGTTACGCTGTAACTTCTGATTTGAAAGAACCTAACCCTTTAATGAGCCACAGCTATATCAATTTTGAAGGGAACGGCCTTTGGAACATCAATCCCGGCACCAATATAAGCAATGGATTTAACCGCAATCACTCATTTAAAAAACAACATTTAAACTTACTTAAAATATGTAATGTTATGGTGGATTACTCCAAGGCAAAATTTTACAGAATACTAAATGACAAAATGACGATGTCTATATTGGTGCTACTTGTCAGCCATTGAGTGTTAGAATGGCAGGACATAGAAGGGGGCGGAATGGCAAAGATAAGAAACATTACAAATTGTTATCACACAATCACCCAAACATTCAATGCTGGTGGTGGTGAAATTAATATGAATATTGTAAAATCATCTTCTAAACTGACTGGAGCATTCATTACCTTATTTAGAACTCCAAGGAGTGGTGAAGAACTGAACCGATACTTACCTGACAATTATGTATATAAGAGATGGAATTAATCCTATGATCTATGGAAGAATTAATGATACTGGTAATGCTGATACAAATGACTTACAAGGTACAAAGGTTTTCAAGATGCCACCCGTAGTTTAAGTTGGCAAATTCAATTAAGCAATTCCCAGAAATACACAGAATTTGAAGCGCAATCATTATCATAAATCTTTTACTATTTAAGAAGAGCTATACAGTACATGACAGTTTAAGTTTTTCGTATCGTCAATACAGAAAGAACAAATTCATTATTGGTATGTCATTTGAAAAAATTGCAGATGTCAATTTTACTGGTTATAATTCTAAAATGTCAGGTATTACCAATTTTCGAGTTAAAGGAGCAGAAGGAGCATTATTAGACCCTAATGAACAAATCACTGAGGGTTTCAGAGACTGTTCTGGAATTGAGAGAAAGTGGTAGTATTGTCTACTTCCAAGGAAATTGAAAATTTAAAACATCCCAGGAAATCAAAAAATCCAAAATTCCAATTTTCCAAAATTCCAATTTTCCAAAAAAACCAAAGAAACCAAAAAAACCAATTCTGCACAGACCATGGGGGGAAGAGGGGGTGAGGCAAAGTCCTGGCACAATTGTTTTTTTTGGTTTCTTTGTTTTTTTTGGAAAATTGGAATTTTGGAAAATTGGAATTTTGGAAAATTGGAATTTTGGAAATTGCCTTTGGGGGAGGGGGGGGGTTGAGGCAGAATAGTATTCTTTCAGTGGCACAAAAATCAATAGAAACGCAATACAAATATAGAAACAAAATACAAACAAAATGAAACAATGCAAAAACGCGCCGCTCAGAGCGCTCCTTTCTGTTTCTTTTTGGGGTGAGATTGGCATTGCAAGGGGCCCTGTGTTTCTCCTCTGTGTCATTTGAACGACCTTCAGATGCCAGGTGAATTTAGCCGACGAAGATGCTCTACTTACTGCTGCGAAGCATCCGTTGTAGAGTGAGTATTGAGCCGACCAGAGCTCGCTCCCAAAAATGCTTGGAGCCAGGCAACCACAGCCGATTTGTGGGAGATTGCTTGGATCAAACTCCTGACTCCTGAGTGTCTTGGGTTCAGGCCTTCGCAAAGCTTACATTACATTGTTGATCTGGCATCTCCTGTTGAGCTGGCCCCGTGCTTTTAGCCTTCAGCACAGGTCTTGAATGCATTTCAATGAGTGGACAGACATCTAGTAAACCGAACTTATACAGTATATAACCTAGTGACCTAGTGAACTTAGCCAAAAACATGTGTGCCGACTACTGGTAGCTCTAGAGCTTGTGCGGCCAGATGGCCCACCACCAATTGCTCAGTTCGAGAACTGCCTTGTATGCATTCAAGTCGGCGACACGCCGATAGAAGGCTTATGTTTTTTCTCACAGATGAGCCACAAAGCAGCACGCTAAGTGAATCCAGGCTTGATGTTTCCTGAGGTGAGCGGTCAGATGTAGAGCCCACGGTTGCCTTGCTAACAAGACACTAAGTTTGGTTTAGGAGGGCCGAGAGGTTGCGGAACCAAGGGCCCACGGCCAAACAGCGCCGGAGAGGCTTTTGCAAGATGACATGGGGTCTTCCAACATTATGGAAGGATTCCCCGCAAGGGGTGCAAGCAGAGCCGTCCAAGCCAAGAACGCCATCAAGTAACTGTGGCATTTCCTGTGCCACACCATGCAGACCATGCACAACGATTATATAGTTCTTGGAGGAAACGGCCTTGTGCATTTGGAAGTGGCCAGCTTTGCCATGTAGAAATTTGAAAGGTAGCTGACCATCAGCCAACAGGCGGCAAACACAGTGTACGAAGGCTTTCACAGTTGAACACGGGGTTTCTGCTTGCAGTGGGAAAAGAGCTTAGCAGTTGTGGACATTTCCCTCAGCTTTAGACATCCTGATCGAAATCGATATCTACGCTTTGCAGATTTGCACTTTGCGAGGCCTGGTCACCGGCTACAGCCGTCCAGCCCCTCCTACTGAGCCACCGCCAATGCCACCTTCGGGCGCGTGGGGGCACCTAGTAGAGAAGTTGTAAAGCTTGCATGCAGATGCATGCAGCACCACGCAAAGAAGCTGAGATTCCTGTCAGATGTTTGTAGTGCATGGTCAGTATGGACATTTACTTTTGTCAGAGGCTTGAGCTTTCAGATTGGGAGACATGAGCTAAATGGATTACGGTAGAAGCTGCAGCTTCTTTTTCCCAAGGCCTCCCATTCCTGGAGTGAGCTTCGGCTTTGGGTTGTTGGGCCCAACCCTGGGACCACCCATAGACCCGAGGATCGCACCAGGTCGCCAACACCAGCCCATCGGCGCCGGACCGATCGGCGCGGTGGGCGGTGCGATTGCTCCCCCAGGTGGACCTGACTGGGGGCGGCATCCAATGCAACCTCCCCCTATCCATCAGCAGCTTCCCCAACAACTGCCACAGCAGCTGACCCAGCAAATGCCTCACCAGCAACTGCCTCAACAGCTCCCGCAACAGCTCCCGCAACAGCTGCAGCAACAGCAATTCCAACCCAAAGCAGTGGGATGTGCTCCATTGACACCAGCTGATGCCTTCCATCCGGAGCGCACACTTTCTGAACCCGTCCAGCCTCATCTGAAAGCCCCGGAGTTGCCCCGTGAGCCTCCCCCGTTTCGGGAGGTTCATGAGGAACCGCCGCCCGTGAGAGAGGAACAGCCACGCGCAGAGCGCAAGCCCAGTGGGGAGAAGTATGTGCCTCCACCAGCAAAGAGGAACTCTCAAGGTGACAAAGAGAAGGAGAAAGAGAAGGAGAAGGAGAAACCTGAGAAGCCCGAGAAGCCTGAGAAGCAGGAGAAGCGCTTCGAGTCTGCTGCGATCGAGAGGCGCCGGATCAGCCGAAGCCTCAGGCACATGTGACATTACATGAGTATGACTCAAACTCCTCGTGCTTCTTTGCTGGCCTGATAGAACCTAGGACTGAGCTATATATATATATATAAGTATGTATGAAAACTTTAAAAACACACACGCACACATATACGCACAACAATTTCAGACCTAAAGTGTTCTGTTTGTTTTTTTAACCCGAGCGAGGCTCTGACAGCTGGGAGGAGACCACACCAATGCGGGCGGCGCCAACCACACCACCAGGCGCCACGTTGGAGACTTTATCAAAGTTATAAAAGACTTATTAGGTTGGAGGCCATCGCTTCTAGGTTTGAGGCCATCGCTCTTAGG